AAATTGGGTCAATTGATCGGGAAGTCGTGCTTAAACTTCCCACCGATAATAAACCCAGCAGAGTCAGCCGCAACCGATGGATTTCTCTGTTAAAAAATTGCTTCATCTTATTTTTATCATCCACCTTTATTCGCCATAGATTCGCAATCTCTTCAGCAGTGGGTACTTTGTGTTTCATAGGATTATACATCCATGAATACAGCCAGGTAGTCTGCACGTACTCACGCACTGGGATACAACACATATCCACGGAGAGAGGTATCTATCTCTCACGAATCTCGCGGCGTCTTATTCATATATCCGAGAAATAATACTGAATAATTTCACCATAAATACGTAGCCCTCGTGGGCGTAAAATAACGATAATGCAAGTAAATAATGGACGTAGAGTTTTATTACCTTAGGCGGGTGAATGGCGAGATAGAATCTACGCGTCCGTCCGCGGCGCGCAGTACCTACGGCCGCGGACTTATCCTCCGCCACCTCCACCACCTCCACCGCCGCCGCTCTACTCCTTTTCTCATTCTCTCTCTCTCTCTCTCTCTCTCTCTCTCTCTCTCTCTCTCTCTCTCTTATAGTCTTCCTCTTGCGCTTCATTGCCGTCTCTATCGCTTCTGCTCCTCCCGATCCTCTGAACCCTCACTCGTGTATGTATGTACTCCTGCATCTCTATGTGGGTATCTACGTGCACGCGGACTCTTCTATCCTACGTAGGGCAACCCGTTGTCTCAGGCCACAGGCATCGCCCATCTCTCATAATCATTTGAATAAACTACCAACCCCGATCCTGAAAAGACATTGCGGGTTACGTGTTTTACCCTTCAACCCATTACTTTTACTCATCCTTGAGTCCTCTTTACCTCATTCGCCTCCTTTAACGTTTAACAGCATCCAAAGGGTTTTCTACCTTCTGCTTACAGATTCTTCCTTTCCCTTTCAATCATCCTCTATATAGTCATATACTATAACGTTGATACTTGGGGTTTTTGTGTTGTTACGATCTTTAGAGATTCTCCATGTTCTTACTAAAATCAGAAAATCGATTCACGACCCAGCAGTAAACGAATTCAGAGAGCTGACATTGTATCGTACCTGGGCTTACGGTATACTGCACAACCTTCTCACCTAAATAAACAATTTTATGGCTGACGCTACTAGGAGCACACTACTAGAGGAATCAGGAATTTCCATAGTATCCATGTGCTTTTCTTTCTTGTATTTCCTTCTTTTTTTTTCTTTTCCTTAATCAAGCTGAAACAAGAGGTTTTTTCCCTCTTTTTTTTCCTACCCTCAAGACTTTATAGTCGAATAGTAAATGGCGTCGGGGTGCGAGGCCTTTGCGTCCTTCCAATTTTCGTGATGGTTGAGCTTTAGGTCAAAGGGTGTGGCCAGGTCTCTCGATTGATTCGGTGTGCTTGCGACTGCGCTTAAAGCTCCCTACGCTGTTGCCGTTACCCAGCAACAGGAACGGGGACGCCCCCGTTCTCTTTCCACTTTAGTTCTGTTATCGAGCGAAGGAACCTCCAACCAATAGGTAGATTCGTAGGTAGACAAGCGCCCATGGAAAAGACAATGAAAGCTAAGAATCATAATGGTGGTTTCGTCGTGATGAGTATATACCTTTTCTTTTTTTCAAATATCCTGCACGTACCTATCCGTACCCAAGATTCTCAAAATACAAAGAATAATAAGAATGAGCGGCCTTGCTCAAGGAGGCCTTTTCATTCTTGCAAGGTTAGAAACGCCGGTAGGAGGAGGAGGAAAAGGAGAAGAGAAAAAAAAAGAAGAGTAATTCCGAGTCACGACGTCCATTTCCGAAAGTGATTTACGGCACGGAGAAATGGCGTCTGGCATTTTTATCGCGACAGGCGTCCACAAACCCGAACGTATCGCCATGCTGGAGTATCATAGAATCACCGATTTCCGAGCGAACGTTATAAAACAGGTTTTATCGTATTCGATAGTGAGGACTGACTCTCTTCTCTTTCTCTCCTCGTCTCTCGTTCTCTCTCACTTTATACGGTTTTATATTATTTCCTATTTACAGCACGTCATTTTCATCCGATTACCTCCCTTCCTCTCTCTCGCCCAATCGTAAATGCATAAAGATCCAAATGAAATAAACACTAAGATCCTTAAAATTCATACGATCGCGTTGCATAAATCCTCATGAGAAATCAGTCTCCATGGTGCGAAACTTTAGTTGTCCTTTCGAAGGACTTTAATGAATTCCAGAGTGAAAGTACTGACATCCAATAATATACAGGTAAGCCGTGTCGAATAAAATACGGGGCGTACTTTCGAGCGACTTCCACCGCTTCCAAGGAAGTATGCATAGTGACGTAGGTGTCGACAGGAAGAGCCAAGCATATGGAATGGCAGCCTGAGAAAGAACGGTATAAAGTAAGCAAGTGAAACGTTAAGAATGAGAAAGAGGTTCAGATTAAAAAAAGAAAAGCGTACCGGTAAAACCGATTGGATAATCAGTCCAGTCGATGGTCCTGATGGGGCCCCCACGGGGTTCTCTTGGTGAAGCTCGAGAATTTTTATAGAACCTCGTGTTTTTCGGGAGGCCCATCGTAAAACTGGTTCTGTAATCAGAGGCGTTTTCTGCCGCTTTAGGATTTATAGAAGACCGGGAGGACTTCATCGACTGACTCCGTCTTAACTAGGGATAAAGAAAGGAAAGTAGTTTCGGTTAGAGTGTAAAAAATTCAATTTTTTAACGGCATAAGAAAAAGAGAAATAAAATTCTCAAAGGATTATTCATAGAGAAATCTAAAAGCAACGGCTAAGTGGCTATCTACTTGCTTATTTACAGTAACCCATAAGCTACATCATCTACTATACAGTCTGTACATAGTATAGTAAAATATTCCAACCGGTGCGTTACTGTACGATGAAATTGGTACAACAGTCCGAACAGATTGGTACAGGACACTTTGGATCGCTACACGATAGAATGGCGTGCATACAAGATGGGGAGAGGTCTGTATAATATAGGTGGCGATAAAAAGAATAAGAGAAGAGAGGAAGTCGAACGGGTCACTTCTACCCATATGAGAATTCTGATGCTCACAAAGTTGTACCTAGTAAAATAGCGTGGGAAGAGGAGCAGAGGGCTAAGCGTATACCGGAAAGTCTGAGGAGTGCGTGGGTGGTGTTGGACGTCCCGAAAGCATCGAAGACTCGTTATTAACACCGGCGACCTTACGTCTATGATTACACGCATTAATAGCCATCCCCGACGCAGTTCCCGATGTTCACGCTGCATGCTGCTATTATCAAAGAGGCTCCACGAGGTCCCGCTGCAAAACAATAAGAGCAGGATGAGTTACGAATGAGAGAACCCATAGAGACGAGGGAGATAGAGAGAGATAGAGAGAGAGCTAAATAAAAAATGAAAAAGAATTATGTTACCAGGAGAATCGTAAGGGAGTATAGAGAACGTCTCAAAAGACAAACGGGTACGCGCCGGAGAACACCGTCTGGCGTACTTGTATTAATGTAAGCACGTGCGCACGGCATTGGTTGATCTTCTGAGACTGGGAAAGAAAAGAAAGAGCGAACATTGAAGCGAGTTGAAAGAAATAAGGAGTAAAGAAAAACAATAGCGACGAAAGAGCAAAATCCATGAAAAGGATTATTGGCGATGTGGATAAGAAGCCAAGGATAGGAAAAGGTTCGGTACGCTCGTTCGATCGAGGACTCCCAACCTAAGCACTGTACGCGAATACGTATTTGTGGATGGATGTGTGCAAGTACGTGCATGGACGTACCTAGTGGCGTGGGTGGGATATCTTCATAGCGGCACAAGGGAAAGGAAAATGAGCGCTAAAGGTATACACTGAGGATGCGTGGATCTTTCGCGTGGGCAGCCCTACCATCCTCTATACCTTTACATGTGCTTATACCCTATATCTATACCTATACTTATATTTATACCCATAGAATCATATGCACTAGCTCAACCAACCACCCACTAACATACGTTTTCCCAGTAATAACAGTGCGAGGATAGCCGAACTCTTGGCACGTCTCATATAACATTATCTGGCTCCAGTTGGTTGATATTCGAAATCCCGTGTTATATACTTGGGCCTCTTCCGAGTGCCACTAAGGTCCAACAGAGCTGGCGGTATGACCTCCTTAGATTGTCTACTACCTACTCGCTGCTCATACCCAAGGGTGCTTACCGGTCTAGGTACGCCTACTGGTATTGAAGTCATCGGGAATACAAGGTAGTCGTAACGAATTGAGCTTTTGCCGCTACCGTGAGCACCACTGGGATGTCGTATAAATCGGATCTGCGTTATACGCCGGGCTATGAATAATATTGTTTCGCGGTTAGCTCGTAGCTGGCTGGCATCATTCATCAATAGTCTCGCGTTGAAGGGGCGTTATGTTCCGTGTCGGTGCTCGTGGTCCATTATAATATTCGAAATATTATGCGCGCCGCGCCATGCTCGTACCCGCCAAGGGACGAGAGACAGAGGGGAGAGAGAGAATATACCACGGAGAGGGGAGGAGCGGGAGGCTCGGAGGTTGCTGGAGGTGGCCGAGGTGTCCCAGGGAGTTGGGAAGAGAATAAGGTGGGCAAGAGGTCCGGAACGTGGCGCATGAACACGAGGGCGGCGTTGCGCCTGTACAAATCATGCGAAGAATGACGCGGCAGAGGCCGCCGATCAACCATGTTCTTTTCTGCCTCACTCTCTCTCCTTTCTCTCTCGTGGACGTGCTCTCTCCTTCTCTCTCTAACGTAAGGGATGCAGCAGGTCCCGGGTTTAGACCGAACCTCGTGATCCTCGTTGCATATTAACGACCAAGAGTCCTCTCTCTGCACACGCTCGTGATCAGCATACTCGCAAGTCACCGGCTTGTTTACCTCCAAACGAATCGCATCCTCGCTACAATTCTCTCCTTTACCCATGCTGTCTCGCTTCTTCTTTATACTCCTTGTACTCTTCTCACTCACTCCTCATGCTCTATTCTCGTTCCAGCAGACGTCGGACCTGGACACGCTTCTCTGCAGACAGGAATTGGAGCGTCTCCAGAGACTTGACGAGGATGACCCGGACAAGGAGGCACGCGAGGCGTCGGCGCATATGGACGACTTCTTCGAAGTCGCTGGTCCAGGTTGCAGGCCGCAGGCCAGCTTCGTCTCTGCGAGGAATCAGCCGGCGACGAACGACGACGACGTCTTCCTACGTCCGCCGCTCTGGGAAGACATTACCTCGAGTATACAAAAGTTGGATCCTGAGAATGCGGACATGTTGGGCAGCCAGTCGCACGTGAAGCTTGAGAGCGAGGATGCGACGTCGCCGGTACTGTCGCCGGTTGAGATTAAGACCGAACCTTTACCACCACCACCGACGTTACACCTCCTCGAGGGACCAGCTTCGAATCCGTTGCAAAACTTTAATCCTAGACACCAGACTGCAACCGGGGGACAGAATAGAGGAAGTGCTGGTAACGGTGCTGGCGCTGGTGGTGGCAGCGGTGCACAATTCAAAAGTTATCCTACCAATGGAAACAATGGGAATGCGAATAACTCCTCACCGACGAATCATCATCCGCCTGGACATCAACAGAGTGGAAATGCTACCTCCCCGTTGTACGGCTCGATGACGAGGTTGATGTACGTCTCTCCATTGACACCGCCGATTTCCGATCCCGGCTCACCGCTCGGCGGACCCCCACGTAGGACGCCACCGCCCCCGTATCCGCAACCAGCCATTCTTAATACTTCCCACAGGATACAGCCAAATCCCATAACAAAATTCAATCGACGGAATAATCCTGAATTGGAGAAAAGAAGAGTTCATCACTGTGACTTCATAGGTAATTAGAATTGCCCAATTAATATCATCTTATCCCACTTATAATAATCTAGTAATTATTCTTTACCATATGTTCCCTATTCAGGTTGCACCAAGGTATACACTAAGAGTTCCCATCTAAAGGCCCACCAGCGAATACACACAGGTGAGTATCTTCATTGTCGAAAGCTCCCGATACAACTAGAGAGAAAAATGAATATTCTTAAGAAGTAGTAGCGAAGCTTATAGGCGTTGAATTAAGAAATCATAAGAAGTAATAAATATATCTTTCGTGGTTAATAATTAGGTATGTAGTTCAGCATTGAGTAATGAGCGAGTGAGTAGGTTTTAAAGAAAGTGTCTCTGACCTAGGAAGGAGTACACGAATACCGCAGAACGTGTAGAGGATATAGAAGGTGGTGCTCAAGTTGGAAAGCGCCAAAGAGTTTGCGCGACTGTCATCCGAGTGTGCGTAGTTAACACAACATTCGTACCCGTTTACGTTGGTGCGCGCTCTTCCAGGGCGTGGTTCCTCGGCTGGCCGATAGTTACCGCTGGTGTTGTGCGTATAGCACAGTAAGGAGCATCTTCATGCATGCGTGCATGGGTATATCGACACAGAGTATAGATCAGGTAGGAAGCTAGGCAGAAAGGGAGTTGAGAATACGTACAGGAGAGAATACGACGAGCAAACTGATCTAAGAGAGAACGAAGACAGGAGTATCTTCAGTGAAGAGATGCGTGATTGTAGTGGGGATTCCATACTGTATAAATTGTCGTAGAGAATAGAAAGAGAGAGAGAGAGAGAGGGCGAGAAATATTAGAGGAATCTTAGAAGTGGGAAAGATATCTAAGTAAGCTAAGCCGTAGGAAGAGGAAGGAAAGAAGGAAATAAGCAAGAGAATGAGAGGAGTGAGAGAGCACGCGACCCACATAAGTCCAAGTCGCGTTCAAGACTCTCCACACATGTCGCCATTCCTTCGTTTGCACACGTGCCCGGAGCAACCAGTCGTTTTACCTCTCGCGGAATGCAAGCCAGAGGCATCTTCTTTGCAACGGAGATGGACCACTTTCCGATTGGTCGAATACAGCAGCATCTTCATCTCCAATATTCTGAAAGCACGTGCATATATGTAATATGTCATATACAACGTAGAATTCTATTATGAAGAAAATAAATAAATTTCCATGATCAGGAAGAGGATCTCTAATTAAATGTCTCTGTGACCAATGGACCCGAGGCATGGAGAAGGAAGGATGCTGCGAGGATAAGAGGAAGATCAAACAAGAGTGAGAGAGACTCCGAGAATGAGAGAACGGTTGAGAGCCTCGGGCACGTGGCGGCCGTCTCTGAATGAACACTCCATCTCAGGCTTCTCCACACGAGCAGCATTCACCGGCTTCGTGGTCGCACGTGAACGTGAACGTCCACACGTCCTACCAGAGGCGCTCTCGCGCCTGTCTTTGTGTCTTTCTATCTCCCTACATGCATTGCGCGAGTACTGACTCTGCCCTCACACCGTCAGAATTCGTATCCTTAGCCAGCAGCAGCAGCAGCAGCAGCAGCAACAACAACGGCAGCAGCAGCCTCTTCTACGTGTATAGAGCAGCAGAGTGTGTGGCGTGCGCAGGCGCGAGGCAAGCAACATTCCTCTTTGACCCACCACACTTCTATCTGCGTGTTTTCTTCACCTTCTTCCTATCCTCATATTCTCTAGTCCTGTCGGCATTATCCCTCGCATCCTTGTCCTCCGATAGCGTGCGGGACCCTTCCGAATTTTTGCAAGGAATTTATCCTTACCGTAAAGAAGAGAGAAGAAAAAAAGGAAAGGAAATAAAGTAACCATAATATTGAGCCACTACTGCCTGTCCAACTGACACTACCTACGGTATTTTTTACCATGGTTAAGAAGCTGCTCGTGAGATTCGTTATTGGCAGACTTTCACTGTATGGTACGTTGCTTCAAACGGCGACAAGGACTATGGAATGTATTTGACCATTAAACCCTTCGTAACAGACATAAGTAATCATTCTCTAATGTGGCAGTTCCCATCGTTGTTCTTCCTTTATGAGTGATATTAGTGAGGATGATATTATTACAGTGTTGCCCCAGGTCAGCGTACAGGTTGGATGGGTCAGTATAGTAAAAAGTGAAAATCTTCTTGGGGTTATGTAGTGGAGAAGCATATACAAATGCGTGCATAGGGAGATTCAATTTCGAATGAGGAAGGGAATCGTGAATGGGATGTTGGCCTACGGAGAGAGAGTCATAGGGAGAGAAGACGCCAGAAAAAGAAAAGAAATAAGGAATCATAGTGGAAGAAGGAAACCGGAAGGGTCGAGAGAGAGTCATGTGCGAGAGAAAGGGTGAAGGAAGAAAGATTAAAAGAAAGCAGTAAGGAGCGAGAGAGCGCGAGTAAGAGAAAGAGAGCCACGGTGCGCTGCTAGTGAGTTGTATGGGCAGGACCGGTTGGTTCGTCGTTCTCTCTAGAAGACGCCCGGAGACGCCCGAGACGCAGAGACGAGGTGGAGACGCTCTCTACCGTAGGGGAATGAACCAAGGAGTGCGTGGGTGCACTATGGATCTTATATTTTACCCTGAGTTCCCTCCACGGAATCCAAAACCACTCTCTAATCGCTCTATCTTAACCAATGCCATCCTTATCAGTACGTTTAATCCCAACTCTACTGTGGAATTGGAAACTCTTTCTCACACCGTATACAACCAGTCTATCTGTTACACGGCGCATCTCTCATTCACTTTCATAAATGCATTTTCATCACAAGTCAAGCTACCTTAACACACGTCACAGAACACCAAGAGACGAAAGACTCGTCAAGGGACTAAAACACTAATACTAGTACTGTGATTGGTACTGGTACTGGTACTATAGTAGGACTCTAATGGCACGTTCCTAAGGATTGTGAACGGCAGAACGCGCATAATGCGGAGACTCGGGTCAAGAGAGCACAAAGCTCCGGGAAGAGTGTTCACCATTGCCATATGGATACTGCTGCATACTCCTATTATGTACTTTCAGATGACAAATTCAAGTTAAATACACAGCCGGATATTTACGTATAGCAAGATATACAGGTTTTAGATCATCTGAACCCTCGAAATAAAATATATTATAATATATGGTCTATCCTAGAGCACGTGAACGAGCTGATGTAGAAGCGTAGAGTGTAAATTCTTAATTGGCTATACAGTTATCATTAAGGATACCGAAATGAAAGGGTGGTGACCCATGTTAAAGTAAAAACGAGGCGCGACGAATCTCATAGGAGAATTGGGAGATCAGGAAGCATCGCGAATGCCATTTGTTATGATATAAGTAACGGCCTACAGTGTGAAGAAATTAAATACCGTAAAGCAACAAGGCGAAAAGACGGAATTCGTATTTGATTATACATTATAATAAAAAGCCAAGCGGGGGAGGTAGGGTACCCCATGAAAAATAAAAGGACTGAACAGATCCTAATAGCAAACCAAGGCGTATGTACGAGATATGAAAAACATGATGCTTCATAAATCGAATATTTGACTATGTATTAGAAATAGGATAAGTTCTGTTTGTGCCGCTTCGCTAAACTGTACGGGACTCTGAACTAAATAGAGAAATGTATTAAAAAAAAAAAAAAAAAAAAAAACGGAAAAAAAGAGAGCAAAACAAACCTCCGAAATAACGTTAACAGTATGATGTCCATGTTCTCTACGAGAATAGGGACTCCTTCCTGGTATCGTCTTTGAATTTGAAGTTAGCTTCTATTAATTCTCTGTAAATTACTTCAGAGCGCTTAATTCAATTTGCTATGTCGCTTCTTATTCCGTACATTTACGGTAGGCATTTACTTACTTAAATATACATATTTACTATATGCATATTGTGTGCTATATAACTATATTGTATGGACACTCGAATGCAACACGAATGCAGGTGAACGTTACGGCATGCGGGTACAGTTAAAGGTCATCGCAAGGCATCCCCAAGTGGTTACGTACCTATCACGAACTTACAGCATTGTTCTCTAATGGCTTCGTTTACAGGTTAAACGTATCGACGTTATCTTTCGCCAAATGACCAATTTCTCAACATATTATTTTTACGTTTTTCATATTTCTTTTCCTAGTTAGTAATTTATGTACCGTACAGTTTTCTTGTGTAAATTCGGTAAAGTTAGTGTACACTACAATCTAGCTGACACGATACTGTAGAAAATCTTTTTCTTTTTAACATCACACAGTACTTAAGAATTAACTGACTGGAACGCTTTTTTACACAAATTCTATTTCCACGGTAATTCCAAGGATTGGATTCACTGAGTCAATTTGATTGGTATAGACGTACCTCGATGTATCAGTAACATAGCTAAGAGAAAAACAGTTTAAGAAAAGACTAAGCCTCTGATGTTCTGCTCCCGTTACACTCACTGTCAGTATTTGCGTCTTCATTTGGTGCGTAACCAAATCAAATGGATAATAAAAACAGGAGAATAACTTCAAGTATACATAAATCAGGCGCAAGTTCTTTTTGATGAAAGAAACTATTGGTTTTTGGTCTTACACGCCCCTTCTGCAGTTCGTTGAACGACCTAACCCATCTCCGGGCGTAACGTCTCAATTCACGTGTACAAATCGATAGTTACCCGAGTATAAATAAAAAGAGAAGTAATTTGAGCGAGATTTTTCTTTCCAACAGACGTAAAAAAAAACTACTGTGTACCTTTCAACGCGCTCCAAGCCACGCGGTATAATGTAATATAGCGCACACAGAATATTCTTGCGCAAAATACTTTTGTATTCTTATTTCATCCTCAGTTAACAGTACTCGTATATGTATAAGCAATATCCTCTGTGGAATTGTAACTAATCTTCCTTTTGTCTTTGTGGCCCGTTTCATGTGTTTCAGGCGAAAAACCTTACCAGTGCCAGTGGCCAGAGTGCGAATGGCGATTCGCACGTAGCGATGAGCTCACACGACACTACCGCAAGCATACAGGCGCGAAACCGTTCAAATGCGCCGTCTGCGAGAGATCATTCGCACGTAGCGATCATCTGGCGCTTCACATGAAGCGTCACTTGCCCAAGCAGCATGCCAAGTGATCCACGAGGAAGCGTCAAGTAGAGTGTCCTCCTCTGTATCGCGCCGGTCCACCTGGAGAAATGCGTTGATGAATGGATCCAAGGCCAGAAGAAATTTCAAAAAACGTAGGACAAGGTGGAAAATCTAAAAAAAAATATTTAAAATGACAAATCTATCGGACCCTGAGATTTCAAATGGGCTAAATCTCAGGAATCACGCTGGCTGGTCCAACGTGAACGATCATCGATTCATCGGAAAGTATATATTAAGAAGATAATCGAACCCAAGGAACTTGGAGAATTTTTATACAACCATAAGTTTTCCATCGAGCAGCTTTCTTGATGTCGGTTTGTTTCTTTAATTCTCGTGTCTCAAGTCCATATACATATGTGGTCTACCTTCGTCCAATAAAAATTATCCCTCTGGCGGATTCTCATGGATTCCAGATGATCCTAACTTGGGAGACGCGTGTCCTCTGGGATATTTGGGGTTTTTGGAATATTCTCCACTCCTCCCTAACGGGTGATGTGCTCGAATTCCGCTGGAGACTTAAGAATTAAATAGAAAACCCGTTAAATGATATACGGGGTGGAAAATATCAAATGGATACAGAGCAAATGTGTGTAATGAATATCTGTTATATATATATATCATAGAAGCGACGCTGGTATGTGCGCGTGTGTCTCTGAGTGTGCGTGTTTTGTAGATATATATATATATATAAAAAAGGAAAATTAAGTAAACGCTAGAAGCGAGAATAGAATGGCGTCGCTATGCCTTATGTACAAATTTTCTCCATAGGAACTCCTCGATTATTATCACTCACAAATCTTTATACCGGTACGCCTGGCATTAAGATCCAGCAAGTTTTCTTAATCAGTGCTTAATTGTATTAATTAATTCAGTGACGTACTTAAACATTCAAAGGATGCACAGAGGAAAGAAAAATATATATATTTACCATAACAGTTAGGAAAGATCGCAAAAATGTCCGAATGTCATCAACTCTAGTTTGTTACTAATCAAAATCTGTTTTACATTTACTAAACGTATTGAGAGGATTCATTGAAAAAATATTGAAAATTCATCCTACAATACATCCGTGTTAGTACACCTATTAAAAGGCCCCCTTAAAGACGACTTTAAGACGTCTTCAGACTAAATGACTTCTCGAACTCATCTCTAAGACGTCCTTTCGACATTTATGCTAACAGGAATCTTATTCGTAATCATTTCTATTGTTTTCTTGATTTTAATCTCTTCTGGCATCTCATTTCTGCCCATACTTCCGTTATCCCTCGACCCTATTACTTTAATTAGCCTTGACTCGTTAGCACGTTTTAAAATCAAAACAATGTGATATACATTTACATATTACGTAAAGGAAAAACCTTACATATCACGAAGCGCTATACGTATAAATCTAGTAAATACGTAAGGAATATCTGTACTGTATGCATATAGATATAATAAAGGTAGATACATCTATTTTACCTATATGTATACACATGAAGATCAATTTTTTCTAGGATCGATCGACTAATATATCTCATCCACCTATCGATAATGAGCACCACTGTCCAAGAATTCACGTTTCCATTTTCTACTGTCATTGTCATTGACCCTTTCGTATGAATACATACACGGGGTTACTCGCGACAGACATGCCACCTGAAGTTCGCCTGCCCATTTGATTTCTATGATAAAACCAACTTCAGGTGGTACGCTTGCACTGAATAATTTCTGTCTGAACGACTGCACGATTGTCAAAAAATTGATCAAGTTCTCACCTTAATTATTATTACTATTATTCTCACTCCCCATTCCATGACTCTGTGACGAGTCGTTACCAGAAGCTTCATTGGATATTCTCAAGAACCATCGTCATTTATCCAGACTAAGAATTTCATATTTCCTTTAATCTTTTGTATCGTTTTTCATTCTAGACGGAAGTCGATAGATACTTCCTGTTCCATAGTAAAGTCCGCTCGTGGCCGTCATGCCCTCTTTTCTATTTCTCTTTTCTTTGTTCTCCTGCTATCACCGGACAGAATTGATATACATATTACAAATAAATAGATTGATATATATATATACATATATAAATATTGTAATAAAGTAAATAACCGTTTATACGGGAGGCAAGAGTAATTCGTTGCCGTAACGCTTATTTAGGTATAAAATGATGTGTTATACCTTAGTGACAGAATGAGAGATAATGTGACGGCGAAAAATTCGTAATTGAAGAAAAATTGAAAGGGAAAAGTGGGCCTGTCCTTTGTCATTGTTAACGTCCCCCGACGTCGTGAACTCTGGGTAACGTAGGTGGCCAAAAGTATAAATGACAATTCGTAGACTTGAGTGAAATGTCCATCTTTTCGTCGAAACTGAAAGTATTCATTATCCAATTAGTCATTACAATATACCCAGGTAAATTATTCTATTAAGTCAGATTTTATTCCCACTTTGTCTACTGATATATCATATATGCACATGGGGTGGCGCGTAGCTACGCGTTTACGCGTACACTGCTACATATCATACTCATATGCATATGTTATGTATACATTTACGTGTATTTATTAGATCATAGAGAAAACGGATATAGTTGCATTTGCGAGTAATTGTACTTGTGTAATGTAAAATATGTAAATCAAATTATTGAAGATAAATAAATACTTATTTGTTAAAATCTTTACTGGATCATTGGGATGAGTCTCTTTTCCTTGCCTAATCTTGAATCCTTATTTCTAGGTTATGTAGGCCTAGAGCCATTCAACTAGAACATCAGTTAGACATGACAGTTACCATCGATGGAATTAAGAATTGCAATACCTTTACAGCTGTCTTGGACTAATCGTACATATCCTTAACCGCGTGACGCGTGATAAAACATCTTGCAAATTGGTTGATTATCGGTTGTGGCGTGTTTTTGAAGTTATTTAAAATTTCCACTTCGCATCTCCACCGAAACGTAAAAAGAAATTAAACATAATTAAGCTGAGAAAGAACGATTTATTACGGTTGCAGACTAGCTTATTTTTGGTAACAGTCTACTTGTCATTTATTTGGAATTTATTATATAAACGATTTTTAATCGAAAGTTAACCATCGACGTAATGTCCGCTTATTATTTTGCAGTTTCATTAAGATTTATTCTCAGTTTTTGATTTACTTTGACATTATTTTTCACTCAATGCAATCGTCGGTTTGTGGTTGATCAGAGTTCGTTAGAAATCACACACGGGAAATATAGACACCTCGTTAGTCAGTGTTCCGAGTTTCTCTACAGATGTCACACCGAGAATAGTTTATAAGAATAAGGCAGTCCTGCCAGGTAATGACGAATTAATCGTACTTTTAAGACATCTTGGGAAACCATACTTCAAAAATCTCAACTTTAAGACTAGAACGTGTATATGTTTCAACAATAATAAATGCTAGAACGAAAGTTTGTTCGTTTGGTACTAAAATATTAATCTTTTGACATTCTTTTTTGTATAAATACGCTAGCCACATCGTGGCTTGTGCAAAAATACATGTATGTATGCAGTGATTACCATACCGAGTAATTACATTTTGCTTTACAGAAAACAATTGTGTAAAAAAAGATTAAGTAAACCCATCGTACGGTATTTAAATAATATATCACTTTAGTCGGTGCACATAGGTAGTAGCTACAGGATCGCGTAAATAATTCCATCCGAGTAAAATTTGCTATATCAGTATTTGCAAATACGTGTGTTTGCCTGTCTGACAAATATTATTATGCAGTAAAGATGTCTCTACATAGTGTATATTGCCATATTATAATAAATTGTTACATATTATATTCCATTTTAAAATTAAAAAATGTTAATCTTCGATTACTATTTCACATACCTCCAAGTAGTACTATACTTTATAGTAATTATTCTAACATTTTTTAAGAAATATTTCTCGTACAATTTTTTCCTATATACTGACACAACAAAGCAGTGGAAATGCTGTTGACATTGTTGCTATAGAATCTCTACCAAAAGATATTCAGCCAAAGTAATCGTATGACTTATGAAATCTGTAGTGATTTGAGCTCAAGAGACATGTATTGTTGTTTCTTACAAAATAGTACAGAGGAAAGATTTGGAAGTCACGATAATGCAGTGCCGGTATAAAACGTTGGTAGAATTGCCGCATAAAGGGGCAGCGTCGTCTAAGATAGAGTGGCGCCATCTTTCAAAAATTGTAACAAACTTGTCGAACCAACGTTGTACCGATGTCATATTATAGATGAGGATAAGACCCTTTTTCTTGTATATTCTTTGGTGGGGTTATCACTCTGAAGAAGTCAAGTACAGTAAGGATAATATGCTGATGATACCAGCGCTTTAAGGAAATTTCGAATTCTATCAAGAAGACAGCGCGACATTGATGCTAAAAGAGAGGCCGCCTACGTAAGCGGCGAGTTTGAGAACTACATTTTTGTAATTCTATACCGGCTATTTCAAAATTGTAACACGTTTTCGATTATTATGGATATATTGACCAATCATATTGAATCTGATCAAATAGTGCTTTTTATCGAAATTCCGAAATTATTTAACATCGTGATCGAGTTTAGATTTAGAACCATAGTATATGAATAAAAAATATTATTTTATACATGAATAGAATTTCATAACTTAACCAGTACCTATTCTCTGCTATGAAGTTTATATCATGAAATGAAATTATTAAACAGTCTAAAAATAATTATCAATTTGAAAATAATCATACTTCACACGGTTTCGATGTTTCCTTCGTTAGCTCTTATTCCCAAATAATATGATAATCTAATAGCAAATAACATTTTCAAACAATTGTTAATGATTCTAGAATATCGCATGGCCCATAACGTATACGAAGAAGCGGTAGCTTATTTCTTTTAAAACTGGGAATGATTTTTGTCGCAGTAGCAGCGAATCCTGCAGCGATTTAATCGCAGGGACAACGCACGCGATCCACCCGATTGATCTCGCCCTGATGATAAGAAACATCCTGAGGATCTGATGCAGTGGGATATCTTACATCAGTATAAAAATAAAACTAACCCTTCGGCGAAAGGATCGCGTGAGCCAGAAGCATCCATTATCAAGGGGGAAACTGGGGGCATTTGGTAAAGAGTAGTTTCTGTCCTCCTACAAAAGGAATTGTCAGGAGCTCGTTGCTCTTTAAAATGTTATACCTTGAGATTACCTAGAATATTTTGGGTCCTAATTAATTTATAGCATATTCAATTAGCAGAAGCTTTAACACCTTCCGGGAGCAACTCTGCATCGCAACACATTTGAGAGAGTAAGAAATAATCGGCAAATAAAAACGTAATAAAAAGTACACCTTACACTGGATGCAGTAAATCGAGTCAATTAAAAATGCTATAAGAGAATGAAATAACATAACTAATTTTATAGAATTTCAGAGGCCATTTTCAACGTCAAGTACTTACGTGATTCAGTCAAATTCCAATTGAAGTGTAGTCATTAATTAACACTAAACCTACCATCGAGCGCTCATTTGACCGTTTTAAAGCCAAAAATACGTTTATAAAAAATTGTCGGTAGGTTTAGTGTTAAGATTCGAGTCGCTTTGTTGTAATTTCTAATTTATTTCATATGCTAAAAAATATCGGTAACATAGTGGTTGCCGGTAAAAGGCTAACGCGACTGGTTGTGAGTTCCTGTTGTCGACAGTAGAGAACAATGACAAAAGCTACTGACTGATCGCAGAACCATCTTACAGATTTTAAAATCTAGGATGACTCGTCAATAGCTTTTGTTCGTACCAGTTTATACCAATTCAGACCAATTGAAAGTTCTGCTGACAGAAAAGTACCGGCTTTGTGGTATATTTGAAAGATAGTTTACTGCAGAAATTCGTTAACAATGGCTTGGGTACCACTCGAATCTAATCCTGATGTGAGTACTGAGTTATAAGATTCTAAAATGCTTAGTACTTTGGATATTGTAATGCTTAAAAATATTATTCTTTTGTTACAGGTTATGACAAAGGTAAGGTTTGCAATTGCAATACCTTATGATAAATATCGTTGGTATATGTATAAAAATTTGTATTTTTGCACGTCTTTGTTAATGATTAGTAATTAATTCTTCTGTAAGGTAGTATTATAATTTTTATCCATTGAACTTCATGAAAATATTACTTCTGTCGAGTACCTGTATACAAAACCTTTTGATTAGATCTAAATAGAAAGTTTGTATCACTTTAGTTCCTGCATAAATTGGGAGTCCCAAAAAAATGGGGTATTGTGGATGTCTATGGCATAGAGTCAGATCTCTTGGCTGTGGTTCCTAGGCCCGTGGTAGCCCTTATACTTCTATATCCTTTTTCAGACAAGGTATAAGATTAAAAATAAATATATCAATTATATCAATGCATATATCAAAACAGTATGTAGTGAAGTATAAGAATTATATTTCCCATTTTTAGACTTCATCATATTATGCTGATCAAGAGAGTAAAATGAAAGAGGGTGAACAACCTATCTCTGAAAAGATCTATCATATGAAGCAGTGCGTCTCCAATGCATGTGGAACAGTTGCATTGATCCATAGCGTTGCTAACAATACTGATCAGTAAGTGAATCAATGTCATGATCATTTTTATAAACTTTCACGTATTTCAAACGCACATATATAAATATTAGGATCATTTTGGAGGATGGCATTCTGAAGTCGTTCCTAGATGAAACCAAAGACCTTCCGTTTGCTGAACGCGGTGAAATGCTTATGCAAGCATCTGGTGTTATTGACACTCATAAGGAATCTGCCCAAGAAGGTCAAACTGAGGTAAATTAAACATTCCTTTCTATACTTTCTGAATGCCATACTGTGACAGCTGTCTACATATCATTTTATAGGCACCAGGAGATGATACACCCGTGATACATCACTTTATAGCTTTTGTCGAAAAGGATGGATCTCTCTATGAACTTGGCAAGTATTTCCAAAAGAATTCTTACATTTGTACATACAATAGTTCTCTAAAATATCTGACAACAATTTTTCTTTATTTCAGACGGCCGTAAACCTTTTCCAGTAAATCACGGTCCATCTACACCAGAGACTTTCCTGGAGGATGCTGCTCGGGTCTGTCGAGATTATATGTCTCGTGACCCCGATGAAATGCGCTTCACTATGGTTGCCTTGGCTGCTACTGATTAAAGGCTGTTGGTGTATTTAATAATAGCTGTTATCAGCATTTACATATATATACTTGACAAGACCAAATAATCCATTTTCTATATTACACATTCTCGACATAATTCAACATATTCAACACTGTGGCTTTCAGCATACTTTCTATACGCACATCTCCAAAAAAAATCAAATCATATATTTTGTATGTTACTTATATATTTTTACAAAAGTTAACACTGTATATGCTTCATAAGATCAAATTATTGGTCTTCACTTCTAGACCTGTACTTTGCTGCTGAAACACGTCACTGTGATTCTTCTATCGTTATTCTAACGTATTAACATGTTTTAACTGATTTTCTAATTCATTGGCTCATCGCCACAACGCATTTCGCTGCCAATTAAATAAATAACTGAAACAAATATATGACTCCTTTAGTACCTTTGCTGACACATTATATTCTTTGGAAGACAAGAGTTTGAAAAGACGGAAGGAAAGCAAAAGCTCCTATTCAAATGTTGGCATTACTTTTATTTTAAATTTAGTTACACGTACAATACGTTACTAACGCGTATATTTTTTTTATATTTATATACTTAGATGCAGATGATTCAGTAAATGAAATAGTTATACACATATTTACACATGATATGATGTGAGAACCTGTGATAATTTCAATCACTGCTTCCTTCAGATGAACTCTCCTGTCTCGTTCCTTCCGATTTTTCGGATTCCTCGTGATCGTTAGGGTTGACACTGACTATCTGGGGCACCGGAATCTCACTAAGATCCAATAAGCCATTGTCCTGACGAGGAGGATTGTAGAAAGAAATATTCACTTCTTCGTGCCTGAAAGGAAAAGCCACACATTATTCTATGCACTTGAAATTGGATGTACAATAGAACAAAACCAAAGCTAGACAATTGCAAAGAATTACTTTTCTGTTGTATCGTTGGTAGAGTTGTCTATGTCGGTCAGGATTCCTATTTCATAAACAACAGCCCTTATAACGTACCTAATGAAAAGAAGAAAAAAAAAAACAGAAAAATTGACTCTGGAAACTAACTTAACGAATATATTACTTTAATTTTATTAGAATCTTACAAGTCGCTCGCTGTAGAATTGGTCAAGTTTCCTTTAGGTATCAAAGTGGTTGACAAGGTGGAGTCAATTGTGCTCTGATGATCTTGTGAATCCTGTTGAGGAAGTGGCACGGCCCACGATGAGGTACACAGAAAAGATAAAATACACAACGATAAAACGCAGAGGCTGCCCCGTTGGGGAAGCTCGTATCGATTTAAAGAACGAGACATCTTCATGTGGATGACGGGATTAAAGTGATCCAAAGTGCCCCACTACTGTTCTCTTATACCTGTGAGCTCTCCTTGTTAACAAGATCCCCACTAATTGTAAGTGATACACGGACGGCAGGACCCTCTCCAAAATATCTCCCGTTTGCGGGGGTATAATTGAATTAATTAACAAACGCAACCTATGGACAAGAACTAAACGTCATTCTTAAGACTTCAGATATTCAGAAACCAAAGGATCTCTTACAATTTCTAGGAATATCTTTGTATATCGAAAAATCACATGCCATCTACGTCACAACAGAATTATCTAAAAAAGTATTAATGTTAAGTGCCTAAATACACAATTTCATCAGTATGAAAAATCTCTAATTAATAAGGAACATCAAAAAGGGTATATGATATATGAACTGTAGTAAACAACTAATGCAATCAAGAGGTACACAAAGACGTCATCGGAAGATTCGTCGTTCTCAAGATCTAAAAGACAGTGCCTGGATATAAAAACTGTTGAAAGCATGAAATAATAGCAGAATGCGTAGTACACATGATGCATGACGTAGAACAGTATCTAATGATGGAAAACTTTCTTCGTTGCACAGAGTGTCAATGGTAACTTCTGGAATATTTGCGTAATTGGCATTAGGATGCGAAGTCGTTACTTGCTTATTTTGCGCTTATTGAATTAGCATCCACGCGCGAATATCGTATTCTCGCAGATTCGAGGATGCTGCCTGACACGAGGTCCCCTGAAAATATGTAGATACTATCAGAACAGTTTCACGCACTCTACAAAATATTTTGGTCATTGTAATATGAGAAAGCGTGCAACACAGTTTTAATTGAAATAAATTTAAAGGTCAAGTTGAAATACATTTCTCGGATTGAGATTAGTAATTGTATGAGTAAAAAGATGGTAAGAGGAGAAGAATAAAAAAAGAAATGAAGTCGTGACGTAGTACCTCGTAGGTAGATTTCTATTTATTCGCTAATTATGTACAACTGTCGTGTACAATGCTGTAAATACAATATATACTGTCGTGCACGTAGTGTAAGGCAGAAGGAAAGGTCGCCGTTATTGAACGCTTCATTAAAAAAGGGATCGAACACAATTGTACAGAATCATACAGTGTTTAAGAAAGCCTAGCCCGTTTATCTTTCTCTCTTTATCTTTTTTTTTTCATCCTTTAAGTTACTTGGCACTTTTGAAGCGTGAACCCTTCCGATACGCTCTTTTAGTCGGTTCTTCGTTCGCGCGAGGATCTCGACAACCCAACGTTTCGCACAGGGCTTCAAGTATACTCTTCAAAATAATAAAAATAGAGATATCTTTCTTCTCTCTCGCATCACAATAATATACGTCTGTTGTGTGGCTTGGCATAGAAGATATACATATATTTAATTATACGCACAACTCAGCCAATTATTAGGCACTGCACCTTCTTAAATTGCTTTAATCCTTAACCTCATCACCATCATTGTTTTCTTTGTTTCACACACTCTCCTTCTCTTTTGTTATCATTCACTCAACCATTCGCTTTTCTCTTTTTCACGCTCTCACCTTCTCTTTCGCACGTGCTATTTTGTAAAGCATAAGCTAGCTCGTATCACGATAGATAGAAGTCCTAATAGATCCGAAGTAATTCTTGCAACAGAAGAGATGAAAACGGAGAGATACATAGAGGAGAGTCACACTATGTCGCAACTACGGATTGATTGTGGTGTCTGATGTGTTTCCTTTTTTTTTATCTCTTTTAACGCTCCTACTGAAAAACACGGGTCATATAGGACCAGCCTCATCTTTACCTAAGAACATTATGGTATACAATGCTTGTGATAATACTTGTTATTACAGCTAGGAATTAAAAATATCCTTTAAAAGCAGTCTAATCGCAATTAGAGAGACCTTAGCTTTCGCGGTTCACTCGCTTTTCCCTTCTTCTCTTTTTTTCCAATTTAAGTTATCTGATCTTACTTTCGTCTGACAATCTGTCAGTTTACCCGCCTGTAGCCGCCTGCAATATGTTCATCCGTGAATATTCTGGCCCCATTCATCTAGTTCCGCGACGCTAACGTAACGTGGACGAACGTCAGGCAATGATAGATCAGCAATAGTTGATTTACTTTTAAAAAAATTTATATTTTATACCAATGATTTATATACTGTATATAATTGTAAACTTTATGTGAGTGTTAACAATCGGCATAAAATACAGGGATAGAAATTAGATTCAATAGATACGTATGAACACTGGCAACCCCCCAACCCCCGCCCACTTGAGAACAATAAACGCATTTAAATACAGTTATCAAACGATTCACTAACTATAGTTGAGCATTGTCAAAGTTCTTTTTCATCATCCCGTTATTGTTATGTGTCTATATTTTTGTGTAGGCAAATGTTAGAAAATTTATCGATAAAGTTTTTTCTTTCTTTTTTTCTCCTCTTTCATTACTGGAGTGTATTCATCTCTATATGTGTTTTGTTTGTGTTACGTGTGTATAATATATATATACGCGTTACATATGTCGACAGCCTGCTCAGTTACTTTAGAAGTGTTCACCTGCAACGTTCGGTCGTTGGTGTGAAGCATAGTAAAAATAAAAACGCAAAATATAACGGAACATATAGAAATATAAAGTATTCATAATCTGGAAATGGTAAGGTCGTTCTGATATGATTTATCACTATTGCTGTTCCAAACCTCCGCGAGAGATCTCTCATTGTGCATCCAGAACCTGCGACGTGGATGACGCCGAGGATGCGATGGATGTATTATTATCAACAGCTGCGACCTGCGCCTTCTCACTTTCAGCTTCGACAACGGTCGTAGCACCGTCATCGCTCAGAGTAACTTCATCTTGTTTCTTATCAGTTGCTACTTTAATCTCCACTACGTGCACCCTGGAACCCTTGTCATTGACAGATTTACTATCCGTTTTCCTGAAATACATTTTTTATATGAATGTCTATTTAATATAATGAGACAGCACTATTGAATTTTCCTTAATCAAGATTTACCCGCTATCTGAGGTTTCACTGGGATTGGCATTACTGTCTGCTGTATTTACAGAATCCTTCTGATCCTCGTTAATCTTTCGATTTGTGGTAGTCTTATCAGTGTCATGTGACGGGAGCACTGTGTCATTAGCATCGATTTTTACAGTGTCACCAGCACTGGTTGAATTCTTATCGGATATCGATTTATCGTCCGTAGTTGCTCCTCCAGTAGTGTTGTCCTGCTTATTGGCTTGAACTTCGTGCTCAGAAGCTTTGGCTTCTGTCTCAGGAATGCCATCTATGTTGAGGGAACTCTCGAAATTGTCAAAGTTTGCCCAACCAGATTGCTCAACAGGTTCAGACGGTACTACATCCCAAGGATTGACTTTAGGGAGGACTACGTTGGTCGACAAAGGCTCTGTCGAGTCCCATTCTGTAACATTTGAAAATATATCTGTATATTTATTTTTAAGTATTCAGTATGAATGACTTCCGAGAGTGATGTTGTAATAACTCACGATCAGTACCGTCCACCTCCATATGTAAGTCGTGCGGATCGTCCTCATCCTCGTCAGAGGAATTTGAATCGTGGTGTTGCTGCTTCGTAGGCCAGTCCCTCTTGTCGATGACAGTTTGAAACGTTAGCTCGCCATCATCATTCCATTCTCCAGTACCGCTGCTCTCCTCGATTCCTGCTCTTTGTTTTTGTTGGCAAATCTGTGAACAGAATAATTCGTTCAAGGTTAACCGCGATTCAACTAAATTGTTCAATCTAGATTTTTCGCTTATGTGATTTTCACCTGGTTGAACATTTCTTCTCCTTTATCGAGATCCTCCTCGGTAAGATTGAAGGCCACAGTATTTAACTGATCAACAGAATTACTGTGAACAATTAGACAATAATTAATTATGCAATGTTAACCAGTTAACAGAAATATGCTAATTTTACAAAGTGCTATAAAATATTCTGATACTTACGCAAGAGTATCGTCACCGTCATTGAACTCATCATCATGATATCCATAATTCTCTATCAATTGAGGCGTCATCTGTTGTTCCTGGTAGTTAGTATAAGCCTAAATATAAAGAGTTGGTAGTTTGTATATAAAGAATCTTAAAATAGTCTTTAATGCTTAGAAAACATTATCTTTGAGTCATACAAACCTGCTGCATGTACGCATCGTGTGAAAATGTATTGTACTCGTTTGGATTCTCGTCGGAATTGGTCATGCATGTTTGGGGTATACCACCCTAAGAGAATTTCAAAGATTTTCATTACCTTAGTCCTAATGGGACTTCGGACCTCTTAACACCATACGAATAAAATGTAAATAAAAATTGTAAGTAACAGGTTTTTGACAGAGATTCTTTCTCAAAACGCAGTTCAGCATATATTCTGCTGGGTTAACAATCATTTTGACATCGCTATCGGAATAATGAACCCAAAACTGAAAGAGTAATTTACCTCAAAAATTTCTATACGAATTTTAAAAATGTGGAAAGTTTCGAGTCAGATTACTCCTGTTATTTACATTTTACTCGCATGGTAAATAGGAGGTCTGGCATTCTCTGAACAATGTAGTAAGGGTTACATAAATAAAATCGGATGTGACAAGCGATGTACTACTCTGCCTTACCAATTGTATCTGATGAGTCTTGTTGATCTCGGCCAGTTGATTGGACACTAGGGCCTCCCACTTATTAAGGCATTCTGAGGACAAGTTGGCTTGTAAAAAATTATTGACATTGCTCTCCTCACATTGAGCCACGATATTGTTGGCAATATTGATCAAATGTCCCATATAACCCTGTCTGACACCTTTCTCTGTGTTCCTAGTGTAATTAATTAATAAAGTGATTAGCACACTAGTAGACAAATAAAATAGAATGAAGTACTTACTGTTTGTTGTCATTTTTATCCCAGGCCTCGAGAATTCTATCAATTAATCTACACTTGATAAACAGCTGAAAAATAAAAATTTCAGTTTTTAACTCTGTATGATGTAAAACACTTATTACAGTTATATCGTTTGGTTCTTACGTGAGGATAAATAATATCATTAGTATCATGACAAGTGCTATTTATCGCTAGGGCCAAGCACTGTTCTACTTGAGTGTGCAAGAAATTATTCCACGAATATTTGAAGAATAAGTCCTGGAAGGAATACATTTATTTGTCAGATAAAGTTCACATTTCTTCCAATTATACCTATATTCCTTTAAGCCAAATCGCACTTACCAGTAAAGTTTGGAATGTTCCTAGTTCTGCTAGTTTCTCCCGTATTTTCGGATTTTCCGTCGATAAAAGAGACGTTAGCAATTTCGCAACATGAAGTCTTGTGTTTCCTAAAGGACACTCCAATATTCCTGCAGTGGTTTTCACTGCAGGCTTCTGTACAGCACAAAAAGAAAACGATAGACATTTTAATATCAATAAAGCCGATTGTGTCATACGTCATTGCATTTACCTTGGGCGGGTCCAAAAGAAGTTGGTGAAAATGTTCCAGGTACGGCAAGGTAGCTATTGAAATTTTCGTACGTTGTTTATTATCGGTAAAATCTTCTCCAGCTCCAATTCCTTGTACGTCTCCCTCATTGGTCACACTACATAAGCACATATATTTTGTATGGATTGCTGAATGATACAAGTACTTGGTAACAAGGTAATACCTTAATACTTACTTGCTGGCTTTCTGACCAAGCAAAACCAGAAGCACTTGTATGCCACCTACGATGCTACTTTCCATTTTCTCTCCAGTTAATATTGTTTCTAGTAGCAAAGTTACAATTTCATCTCTGTATAAAGGAAATAAGTCATGATTTTTACCGTACCTGAATTCCAAAACGAAATAACTCATGTACTTACGATTCTAGAGTATATAGAATGGGATCAGGATCTACACGTTCCATAGTATTTCTGTTCTCACGGGCTCCTTTCACCATATCGCAGAGCAGCTGTGCTGCGTTTGCATGTCTCGTTACCCCTGCGGAAGGTGACAAAAGTTGTACAAGTCTCTGCACCAGATCCTGACTGTCCAACCACTAAAGAAAAACATTTTTTCATAAATAAGAGTTTCCATATCGTCAAGCACCAAAATCTTACAGTTAGAATATTTTGACGCATATCGTTGCCTTCCACTTGAGTCACCAACTTTAAAATCAAATCCATTATAGCAGAGGTTTCTAAATGTCGCAGAAGAAGATCGACGCAACGCTGGCGACTTTTCAGAAACTCTAAAACCTGGAGACACGTGAACTGATAGGAATACCAGTTCTGTTGGATTGAAGTGGAGCAGGACAAAAAGGGAAAAAAAGGGCATTATTCATTTGATTGTCATAAAGGAATAATTTACCCAAAAATAATAATTGTTACCTGATCACTCTTTCGAGCTACTAGAACTCCAATGGTTTTACTGAAAAATGATGCTAATAATGGATTCAATGGCTCATCCGTATCTATGAAGGCATACAGTTTGGACAACAGTGTCTCATCCCCTAAAGCATTGTATGTATAACAATATCTCTAAAATTTAGTTTATTCAAGACAATGAAAAAATTTTTTAGTTTCATACCTGCTAGCTTTTCATTGAGCGTAGGAACCTCAGAAGTAAGTAATTCACAAGCAACATTTGAATATTTATATCTCCAACGTTCATCTATATTGAGAGATGGTTCTCTTGTTGTTAGTGTCACCAATTCCTCCATAACCTTTGGTCTTGTTAAGCTAAAATTTATCAATATCAAATTAATTGTAGTAATACAAATACTTATTTGTTACTATCAGAGCACTTACTAATCCACAAGCTTTTTATTTTGACTTTTGCATTCCTGTAAAATGTCTTCCTCATCCATAAGTTCATGCAACGTGACATCCTAAAACATTCAATATTAAATGTCAAAAAGCACATGATATACAATAATTGCTTGAAACAGAAGTATCAACAATAAATGACACTATAAATAAACCATTAAAAAAAATGTATAACAATAAGTTATAACCTCTTTATTGAGGAGTGCTTCAATGTGGGGTGAAGAGACATAATTATTAGCCCAAAACATGATAAGAAGTATATCCCTCAACTACATTAACTCAAGAAATTCTGTCCCAAACAGAAGATGACTTGGTAGATGCTCCAAAGAGATCAGGTCATCTGCACGATTTAGAAGCTGCAAAGAAGATGAATGAAGTATATTTTTCCGTAAAAGAACATAACAGATAAATAGTGGATCGTTTAATTACGCAATATCGTCCAGCCACGATAAGGGAATGTCTGGAGAGATCGTTCGGTCGTCGCACCGTGCACGAAAATATTACATAGTACGATAGTTTCCCAGGATTTAGTTGTAAATGTCACTCGTTCCTTGAATAAACGCAAAACCCGAAAGAGACGTCGTAGTTTTTGACGTCTGGAGTAATGCGCTAGGACACCCTGGTGAATATTCGTTAGTAAACACGGCACAGTTTCAATGAGCTTTTTCTAATGTCTTCAAAGCCATAATTATGGAGAAAGCTTCCCTTGTAGAACTATCGCCTCGTGTATATTCAGCTCAACTCAACTACTAACGACGAAGAAGAAGAAACTTTGAACAGAATAGATCACCCTACGAATCGCCATTTATTGTACAATCAGACGGTTTTAAATGTGAACTACCGATCGAAGATCATTCAGGGTCTTCTTGTTTATCAGTGATTGGCTGAAAGTTGGACAAATTCATTCCCTTGTTTCGCATTATTGCTGCGTGTTGGCAGATGAACAGGCCGTAACTTCATTGTTGTAATATCAGTAGAGTTTCTATTCTCTGTAGAAATTCATTCAGCCGTTGTAGGTGTGCAGAGATGAGTGGGGAGATGCACAACGTTCCGGTTTTAGGCGATACCAAAAGCATGGCGCTAAATCGTAGCGGCGCGTCCGGGAGTAGAATTTCGTGATCATCGCCTGTGTCGATGTTACAGATTTCGCGTAGCCGCGCGGGTCATGATCATCGTTCCAGCCGATATTGCAGTCAGCGAAAATGAATGGATTGCTCGGTGGTGGGGAAAATGTTGCCGCCCCTCACAAACCGTTCTTGACAAACAGGCGGGGCAGCAAGGTCTTTCGTCCAACAGAACCCTAAACGTTTGTATGGACGTAATGCGCAAATAAATGTGTATATTCAAATAAATTTCAAAGTTATAAGAAATGCATAGAAATATTGGTTTTCACTCTTTACCTCTTATCATGCCGAAAATGAGCATTAAAAAATGAACGGCGAAATTCGTTGGTAAATGAAACGACCGAGAACAGTTCAAAGAGAAATTTTGAAATATCATAGATAAATATCTATAGAAAATTTAATTTAGAATTAAACGAGCATCGTGACTGAGTCAATAAGCTGTCAAGGTATACCGCTGCTGGTTAGGGGTTCGATCCCCCATGAAGAACTCTTTTTTCATCCTTTTTTTTTATTTTACTACAAAAATAGTTCAAGGTTCTTCTCTTTTAACCTTTCTAGGTTGCCCAAACTTTATTTTAAGTTTATATATTTTTTGAATTTGATCGTTTATTCAACTGCTTACTATTGTCGTTTCGCTTACTTTACATATAAGCAGAATAATATGAAGATGCACACCAGTTAAGAACTTTCGCGCCACCCTTCTCCACGTGGACGAACAATTACTGACAGAGATAATGCTCATTTCCATATTTGCTTTTTAAGATTATTGATTCCAAGTAATGAAGTGAGCTAATTATTTTCTAAAAGTAAATCTTATTGAGTTTACACTGGGCGCTGCAACTGAAGATTGCAAATAAAAAAGTATTTATAAGATTATAAGAACCAGCGGCAGCAGTAACAGCAATAGCAGACCCCTCAGCGAGAGAGGATCCGCAATCGCTCAAGTCGCCGGTCGCGCGGCACGAGCGGGCGTTTAAAATATTAGTCGATTCCGTCATACATAAAATTAAAAAAAATATATATAAACTTAAAATAAAGTTTGGGCAACCTAGAAAGGTTAAAAGAGAAGAACCTTGAACTATTTTTGTAGTAAAATAAAAAAAAAGGATGAAAAAAGAGTTCTTCATGGGGGATCGAACCCGTAACCAGCAGCGGTATA